TGTAAAATAATAAGCAATTAAAAACTTATGCCTAAGCCTTCTAAGATAAAAGTTCGTATTTTGTTGCCTATCTACTTTAGCTGTAGACACACAATCAGAAGAGTGAGGAAGGCAAAGTTTAAAGATGTCTGATGCTGAAGAGACCTGGAAGTTACCTAAATACTTGCTATTAATAATATATAAGAAACAAATTCAGTCAATCTCTAAGTCATACCAGGCAGCTGGGTTTCCAGATCCCCATAATTTTTAGGGGCAGGGGAGACTAGAGACTTTTGTGTAATCATACACTATCCTATGCAAATAGAGCAACAAAGTTAAATAATGTACTCCTAAACTGATAATTTTGTGTATCAGAGTAACAGGATAGCAGAACTCCTAACGTTTCTTTCTGGGCAATGCATATTTTCTAATACACGCATGCACTTTCCTTACCGGAAGCAAAAAGCAATGCTACTTACTTGTATTTTGTTACGTCACTGAAGCCATCATAATGTTATGGTGACTTGCTACTCAAAAAATAACTAACTAGCCTAAATAAAGGACATCTCAGCACCGCTGTGTCACAAGGATGTGTTTTCTACTTTTGGAATAAAACAGAAAGCAGTTATATTCTATGTTTGCAGACTTTATTTACATATTCTAGTTAATCCTGATACTACTTAAAAATCAGCTTTTGACTTATGTCCAGACTGTTCCACAGCTTGGACATAAACAAAATTAAATTCATATTGGACACATACAGACCTTGCCAAAGGCATAAATTCTATGCTATGATCCATGTTCAACTCAATACTCCCAGGCTAAGCAATTCCTATAGATAGAGCCCTGTGATGTTTAAAAATTAAAACTCAAGAGTATCACCATGATGATATAAAATTATCTTTTTGGCTGAAATATATTTGGATGTCTGTTTATATTCACGTTTTATACTATTTTTCAGAGCATACAGTTCAGCTGAGTTTCCCAAACTTTCTGCCTCTAGCTGCACGCTTTGTCTCACCTAGTTGTGTGTAACTTTCATTTACTTTAAGGGCTTCGCAATTTTCAGTGAGCCTAGACAACATTATAGTTTTGATAGGGATAAGGGAAAATCCCTTTTATTTTGCTCAGTCAGATAATTAAGAGACCATTGCCTATGCTTGCTTCTTGAGGAACATAACTTGTTTGTTGATTGTTTGTAGGTCTTCCCTATTCTGACTTTCAGCCCTATCTCAATCTCTGCTTCCTCTCCTCCTACTGTTAATTCGTGGGTTGTTCTCTGAACTCCTTTCCTTTTTGGGGAGTTGTGTTTATTAATATAAAACTCAAACCACCTAAGTCTTCCACCCAGATTCCCACAGCCATTATGTACTTTCATTTTTCTTACTCCTCTCTGCATCTTTCTCTTCCAACCTTCAACACTGCCTCTTGCTCTCTTTAAACTCTATCCCCATGCAACCTGTCAATGACCTCTTGAGAGTTGCCTATGCTGAGTCCCTATGATATTCATCTGGATGCTTCCTGCTTCTTATATGAGAGCTTGGTTCATAGCCCTGTGTTCCCATCACAAGTTCACATCTTGATTTTCTTCTGAGCATTGGCCTATGTGTGTCAGAGATGCAGCTGAACTCCCACTTTGCAAACCATGAGTGCACCTGGTGTTGCGTTCCTGAGAGGAGCAAGATAATTGTTTAAATATTTTGAAATGCAGGGATGCACCCTAACATTTAAAGCTGTTGTCCTCTTGTTAACCAGTAATGGTCTGATGGGATAATCTCCCAAGAGGAAAAATACATACACTATAAATCTTATTAATTAAGCTTCCAGAACTGTAAAAGAAGAATAAAGAGACTTCAATGGCTGTGAAACAAAGATATCCAGAAGCTAGTGCTGACTCCAACTGATAACTCCACACACATGATGCTGCATCTAGATCTGAGCTAGCATGTGAGGGACCAGCTCGGGAACATCTGCACTTGCTGTGCAGTTAATTCACAAACAAATAAAAATCAGTTGAATTAGATTCAGTAACCTGGCGATCAGCAAGCAGATTTGGCAGTCTTGTGGATATCTCATACTTTTTAGTGATATTTCTACACAGGTTCTCATAGACTTCGGCTTTTGAACTCAAAAAGCCAAGTCATGGCTGCCATGTGGTTTAGAAGAATTGTCTAATCAGTGCTTAAGAGATTTATGTAAGAAAGAGCTAATTAAATTTTAATTTCAATTGATCAGTTCCCACCAGTCTCGTAGAACAAATATAGACTAGAAATAGACGCTTGGTAGTAATTGTGTTTTGCACTGAACCTATAACTAATTTGTACAATCTACAGGTATTGAAAGAAAATATTTTTCATAGTGATATTTTACCAAAAATCAAAGCTAACTTTTATTAACTCTTCTGAAGGGATGTCAAGCGTTCATGTACGATGTGGCCATTATTCAAATATCTCCAGTGTGTCTTGAGTTGAATGCTATCCTAGATTAAATAATGAAAACTTTGACTCAGGTGGTGAATAGGAGCATAATATTATCATAATATTAACTTCAACTTTATAAAAAAATTTTTGAGTACTAAGTCTGGAAAGAAAGCCATATATAACTTCTGCTTTATCATCTAGAGAAGAGAAAACTGTATAAGTACATTATGCATATGCTAAATCTTGCATATTCTGGATAAAATACTTCTAGAAAATCAAAAATAAGTGAAAGGACAAACGTGGAAAGAAAAGCTTCATCTTAAGGATAGATTTTCAAGGAATTGTAATATGGATTTTTAAAAATTGATAAGTTGTAAATAAAATGCAAATTGATTTAGTAGCTTTGGATGTCCTTTTGTGAAACCTAGTTTTAAAATCAGTTACATCTTCAGTTTGTTAGATGTGTAATTAAGGCATTTGAATGGTAATATTGCCTAAGGCCATTTCATAGTTTTCCAGGAAGTGTTTAGGTGGTGACTGAAACATTTAACATTTCTGTAGAGAGTTTCAGCAACAAGTATTAAGACTTTATAGTTGACGTTTAATATATCTGGTCAGTAGCGTGCTATGATTGGAAGAAGTAGCTCTGTGGTTTGAAAATGTGTTAAAATATATTTTTTCCACTTATTGATAGTGCTCCCAGCAGTGTTATTTTCATATATATAATTTAGATAGCAAATATATTTTAAGTAATGTAGTACCTCAAATTTGGGATCAGTGGTTAGTTACTGGATTTTGCTTTAAGTTGTAAAAAAAAAACCAAAAAACAAAAAAACAACCTGATCTTAGTTTTTTTACAAAAAGAAAAAAAGGGGGTTTTTTTTACACCTCATCTTACTCTGAATCTGGAGTAACTGTCTGCAGCTCCTAAGTGATATTTGTTTCTCTGATTAAAATCTGCTGCATGGTGAAAAAGTTTATCATTTATTGCTGCTTTTTCTGCCCTATTTTGTATATCCCTGTCAAGATGTTAATTTGGTGTATTTAGAGATATTTGTCTCATCATTAACAGATTAGTTCATGCTGATTTGAATCATCGACAGGATTAAAAAAAAAAAACAAACAAAACAAACCCCACACTTCTACCAAGTTCTTTTGTACATATGATCTGGTATTTTGAAAAAATCTCAACAAGGTGTACATTGCACTTTCTAAATGAGTTGGCAGTGCTCCTATCTGATAATGAGGTAGGTGTGTTTATAAAACAACTTTTTAGGGCTGACTGTCACGGTAAATGAAAAATTACTTTCCTGGTTCTGTACTTTTTCTTCCCCAGAAGCAGTGAAAACATAAATCAGTTGTAGCTAGCAGCTAATTGCTTAGCACTGACATACTTCAGTCAAGTGGGGGCATCGTTGGTCTTTCACAAATAGGGAATATGGCCAAAAGGATTTACTTGTTAAACTTAAGTGGCTGTGATATAGTAAATTACTTGCTCTATTTTTCCCTTAATTTGGGAACTCTATAGGTATAAGGTGCATAAACAACATGTTTGTTGTTTATATATATTTTTAATTATATTACATTGAACAAACAAGTGGGCTCAGTTCTTTCCCTATAATTTGGATTTTGGATTTATGTCAGTCAAATTCTGTTTAATTACATATAAGAAATTTTTAAAGTGATAGTATTTTTCTAATGAAATGAGTGTGTATTTCTTGAAAACATCAGCTGCACTCAGTATGTTCTCTGCTGAACTTGAGAAACAGCGGGCAGTCTGACAAATGCCAAATGCCTGAAATATTTGATTCCACTTTAATTCTTGGTTTGTGCTAACAAAAGTGTTACCAAAAGTATCTACCGTTTTGGGATACGGTCATTATTAGCTAATGATACTTGTTAGAAACTATCCTCTGATAACAATTTGTGGCTGAAAATCGCTTTTTCCATGTAGAAAAACTAAAGCCTTGAAGAGGAAGCTCTTTGGGTATGGTTGGAAGTGGCTGTTTAGAAACGCCATGCCGTAATTACCTTTCTTCAGTCGTGTCCTTAAACAGGAAGAGCGCAGCCATAAACTTTATGCTGGAGTCTATATGAGATGAATGCGTTAATCATGTGTCTCAGGCACAGTGACTTTGATCCCCACATCGCAATGGTAGATCGCAACTTGTGGTAAACTCTGCCCCTGCTATGCCTGGCTTTTGATCTAGTCACAGTGTTAGCTTCATTAAAAGTGAAAGGGCTTGTGGGGATGCTTTTCCATGGCTGCATTTTGGGAAATCTTTTCAAGGGTGTGTATATTGGGCTGTGCAGGTCTATGCCTTAGGTATTTAAGCACGGGTGTTTCCACTGGTACAATTCTTGGCCTGTTCTCCTATGTTGATCTGGAATCCCGTATATCTACATCCTTTGGAGACAAGTGCCAAGGGCAATGACTGGAGATAATAACTTGCGATTTGTGTCTTTTGCAAGTTACAGTCATTGTAAACTGACAGCTGTGAAGGACCTAAACTCACATCAAAGGATACAGATCATCTAGTTAGGTCAATTAATGTTAATTCTTTTTTTTTTTTTTTTTTTTTTTTTTTCCTCTTCTTTCAGCCAAGCCCAATACCAAGTCCTGTTTTGGGGAGAAAGCCAAACGCTAGTCAGTCACTGCTTGTGTGGTGCAAAGAAGTTACGAAAAACTATAGGGGAGTGAAAATCACCAATTTTACTACATCGTGGAGAAATGGTTTATCCTTTTGTGCAATATTACATCACTTTAGACCAGACCTAATGTAAGTTGTATACTCTTTGTCTGCATAAACTAACTCTCATAGAAATATATAACATTTAAGTTTACATAAAAATCAAATCCCTGTTCATTTCAGGTGTTGAACTGTGTTCACCCTTTTCTTTCAAGCAGGGAACCATCCTTTCTAAGAAAACATATTTATGAATGCTCAAACTTTATGACCTCTTTGCATAAACAATTGTTTCTCCCCTCTCTGTGATTTGTTTTTCTTCTTCTTAATCTATACAAAGAACTGACTTCAAGATGATTATGAAAATTGTGCCAGTGTTGAAATGAGATGAGAGGAATAAGCCTGTAGCTCTTTGTACACTGACAAGAACGGATTACCTCCTGGTAAATTTGGTTGTCAAGGCCGGCCTCTAGTCCCTGCCTTAACTTCTTTTTTTAGATGGAAAGCTTCAGGCAATGAAACATGTAATCGGTGTTTGTTTATTTATTTATTTATTTATTCCTTTAATTTTCCACACTATTAGTTTTGTTGATTGAATTGCTGTGAAATTGCTAGTTACTGTATGATATTACTGTATGTCAAATTTTTAGATTCAGTTTGTTTTAAAACTGCTGCTTTTATCAAATACTGTACATACCCACTGTGCCATTTTCCCCCTCAGTGACTACAAGTCCCTGAATCCTCAAGATATTAAAGAGAACAACAAAAAGGTAAGAACTGCCAGGGAAAAGAAAAAAAAAAAAAAAAAAAAAAAAAAAAAAAAAAAAAAAAAAAAAAAAAGACATAGCTTCAATTTTGGCTTCACTGCAGGTTTTTATTAATTTTGGGAAAGTGTGGTTGTTTTGTAAGGTCATAACGGCAGCTCACAGAAGGTATTCAACCCCCCACGGTTCAAATCGGATGCATTATTGACTCTCGTTTGTCATGGTCTTTAACATTCACAACAAGTGCGAGGATGGCATTAGAGTTTAGTATTTGTATGGCCTACATTAACTGTGAAAGCAAAGGAAAGGACTGGCTAGCCTCCTGTAATCACTCTGATTTTTCTAATCAGGCACATAATTAAAAAAAACATAACTGCTTTTGGTTTGTTGTATGCAAGACTTCTCTTTCTGTTGCTTTAACGGGGCTCTGTGCATTGGTCACAGTTGATATTGCTTTCATGGTGATTTTTGTAATTTAAAGATGAAATTTTACACCTTCTTTTATACTGTGCCAGCTGAGTGAAGTGGAAACATAGGAAGTTTAGGATAAAAAGTGTTGAGACAATACGTTGCAAGTAAACCAAAACGTTAGAAAATAGCTTATAGCTTTGTGCTGGGCAGCTGTTTTAAACCACTCTTTATACTTTTGTGATGCAAAGATGTAAAAAGTTTCTCTGGAATATACAGGAACTCGGTTTGGGAATCACAGAAAGGTATTTTATTTCTGCTCACTATTTTAGATGTGTTTCAAACTTCAACTGAGCCCTAGAGGCATGTTTAGAAATTATAATTTTTGTGTGAGCCACTGATAATAAAATTATTCCTGAAGATCATCTGAAAATTGTTTTTAAGTAGCTGCCTTCTCAATGCTGTGATTTTATTTTTATACCACTTTAAAAATACTAAATTGAATTGGGATGAAGATATAAAATATACTTTGAATAGATTAATTAGGTTCAATATTATATAGCAAATATAACTAAAGAGTATTAGATTGTAGATATGTGGAATTTCTGTAAGTGCTTTATTAAAATTGTGTTTAGTGTAAGTATATTTTCATGTGCCTGCAGACTTACGTGTTAGGGAGTAAAATACTAAAATAGTACTTAAGTATTATAAATAATAAAATATCTCTGAGCTGCTGTTATCTAATGAGTGATTTAGCCAATCATCTCATTTTGATAGTAATACAGGGTCTTACGATGACCTAAGTGGATTATCCATGGCATCACAGTGTTTTCTGTGACCATATGTTTTTGTACTTCAAGTTTCATTGAGCGTCTGGGCTAATTAAGATGGATTATAAAAAAGAAAGAATAGATTATTAATTAAAAATGTTTGCAGTAGGATCAGTCATCTTTTCTTTATGAAACTGCGATGGCAAACAGTGAACTTTTTAGTCCGTCTCTCTAACAGGATATAGTTCCCAGGATTTGAAGAAGTAATGATTGTTGTTATTGTGCAGTTTTTTTCTTTCATCACTTTGCAAGCCTTCGCCTGACAGCTACATTGAGTATCTCAGTTGCTTCCTGCAGATTTATTTCCTGGTCTCACACAGTTCTGCCTGATAACCCCGCGTGCCCTTGGTTGGAGTGAATGCAGCACTGGCAACAATAGCTGCCTATAAATTCCATGCAGATATGTAACACATTTGACAATGATTCCTCCTAACCAATTAAAATAACATCTATGGATGAATAGGACAATTTTCTTTGTCTGAAGCAGCTTTTTTTTTTTTCCCCTCCCAGGAAAGGAGGTAAGAGGTGACTGTGACCACAGATTAAAGGTTAACCCATAAGAGAATATCTTTTAGAAGTGCATGACCTTTGTATTTTAATTAAAAAAAAAGGAGAAATCTTGAGACAACTATTTCAGTGCAATTGCTGTGTATAATTACACATTGAAATGCAGTTACAAAAACCGTATCATCAGAGTTTCTTTATAACACACACTAGTCATTTGTCAAATTCGTGCTGCCACTGCTGCTGAATAAAAAAGGCTATTTACCTGTGACATCTGATCTTTGCCAATATGTCAGTGTGTTACGTAGTTGGGAAATGGTTGAAATACTGCCTGTGGTGCTTGTGCTGATAGATCCCAATTGATGTCTGTCAATCAGCTTGTCAGTAAATTAGAAAAAAAAAACCCAACAAACTTCATCAGGAGATAGGTAAATACGTTTAGTGTCCTGCATACACATATGTGTGTGTGTGTGTGTGTGTGTGTGTGTTCTGGTGCATTGTGCTCATTGCAAATTCAGATTTCTGCGAGGAACAAAAGAGAAACCAGGATTGTCTTTGAGAAGGTTAAAAACATTAGAGGGATACCTTCCCAGCTGATCCAAAAAGTTGTGGTTCTACTTAAGTGTTATATTTATCAAACTGTCCATACAGCCTTCCCAATAATGTTAGCCAACTAATTTTATGTACTACATTCATTTGATTATTAGTAAATAATAATGAAAAATGCGTTAAAATGACAGCATACTGCCAGTATAGTCCCTTATCAAAAATAGAAAGTTTTCATATTGCTAATAACATGTCCTGCACTTTAAAAATGTAAGCTACTAAACTACACTTGGCTGGAGCTTGGAGGGGATGAAAAAAGCAAGAAGTGGAAGGGCACAGCAGTGTGGTTCTAATAATGAACTTCTGGTTTTAATTACTTTTATTGTTTAGAGAAGCTTGTTTCATTTGAGGGATTATTGTGTGGAAATAGTAAGATCTTCTGGATGTTTGATTGGCACTTTCAATTTTTGTGATGCTTTTTATTTTTCCCCTTTTTTCTAGTTTTTGACCATTTCTACTAAAGTTCTCAATACTTTTGAACTCAGTTGTCTTGACAAAATATTCCATTTTTCAAGGAAGAAGTCATTTTAGAATATACACTTAAACAGAAGAAATATTACAGGGATAGCATTGAGTCAAATTGGAAAAAATTCCTTACCTTTAAACTGGCAGCCATTTTTTTATAGCAGATGTTCATGCTCACTTCTACTATTTGATTTCAAAAAATCATAACCACGTATTTAACTGTGTGTAGAGTTGCTTGTTGACCTTGGTGGGATCATGCAGGCGCACAGTTAAACATGCATATAAACATTTCTGAAATCGAGGCTTAGTTATGCCTCTGTGTAACAAGAAGTAATTTGACTTGGAAATTTTACTCTGTTAATACCATGTTACAAACTAGTTAGAAACACTAGGAATTTACAAATATGCTGGAATATCAAGAAGCTCCCAGCTTTTCTAGCAGTGAAGGAGAACCTATCACACAGTGCTACAGAAAGTATAATTGCTGTTTGTAGAACTAATGACTGTAAAACGTTTGCATGCCAATCTAGATATCTAGTGTACTTTAAAAGGAGAGAATCAAGAATAGGTATCGTCCAGAAGGAGAAGGAGAGGGAATGGGAAATAAGTATCTGGCATCAGTGGAAAACTATTGTGTTTAATCCCAAGCGTCACCAGAAGAACTGATTGCAGCTGTACTGAGATTATCCATAGTCCCAAATTCAATCCTTCTGATGTAGCATTACCCATTCTAAAAAAGTGTTTTTCCTGACAACTGTGAAACACTGTCCCCACCTTCATTTTAAAGACCCTGGGAGATATTCTTAGGGTTTAGTTTTATTAGCATATAAATAAGAAATTAAGAGTATAAAAGAGTTCAGGTCAAGTCATGTCTATGGGCTGTGGCTGCCATGGACGGCTAAGCCCATCCTTAGATCGTGTCATTCTTCAGATGGTCACTCCCACTGCCTTCAGTGTGGGGTAACAGGTTGTTTATGCCACTGAATCAGCACTGACACACTTAATCAAACAACAAAACCTGGTGTTACCTTTGGTCCACAGGACCAACTGGCTTGCTACGCTCTCGTACCCAGCCTGTTTTCTGCTAGCATGTGAGTATTCATCATTCCTGGTACCTGCCATGGCTTAGGCTGCCCACACAAATCCCTGCACTGCTCTCCATGAACTCTCCTTTCTTCATGCTCCTCATGTCTGTTCAGTTCCACCTCTCTTGTCTCCCTCTCCTCCATATCCAGCCTGATCCTGTTCCTCCAGCTCTGTGTCTCAAGGTCAGGTAAATGACAGCTGTCCCACTTCTACTGTCTGAGTACTTCCCATTCCCTCCCACCCATCATTTTCCAGCTCTCCTGCTCCATGTAGTGCTTTGCGTCAGCAAATACAGCAGTCATGTTTTCCGCTGCTGCTCCTGTATCTAAGCACAACTCTGCTTTTATAAGTGGCATAACAATCTCACATAATGAACCTTCCCAAGATACGACACTCCACCAAAGACCTGCAATGATTTTAGGCCAAATCATTTTGCACAGGGACAGCCAGAAGGGCTTAAAAATAAATTATTCAGATAATTTCTATGTCTAGATAAATTCTGTGAATCATTTGTTATAGTGATATAAAAATTACTTCACCAAAAATGCTTTGGCAAGTTATACCTCAGCGTGAGGGGAAGCATACAAAATTTCAGGAAGATAAATTCCAGCTCTCAGAAGCAGAGTTTGAGAAGCGGCTGAAATAAAAACTGTTTGACCCTTGAGTAAGGAATGACATTGCAATGGGAATCGGAGAGCCTCCTTTTCTCAGAGCAAGTAAAATAGCCAGGTCTGCCGAGAGCCGGCCAGGCCAGACCTACATTTTAACTCACTGTTGAACATATAACTAGTATGAAAACAAACAAAAAAGTCATAATTGATTTCTCTTTTCTTTCTTTCTTCCACCCTTCTAAAAACTAAATAAATTAAGGAAATAGTGTAAAACTGGGGTAGAGTTGAAGCCAACAATGTGAATTACTGTTGTGTTGTGAAAGGACCAGTTCTTGTCCATGTCTTAAATTTAGCACTCTTTTTTTTTGTTCAAAATAGTGTAGGAACAACTGTGAACATTTTAGACCCCTTCAGAAGAGGTGAAAAAGGAACTACAGAATTACTGGGGGAGGAGAAGTCTGAGGGCTTTAACTGAGTGCATCTATGCCTTTTTAAAGGCTTCCTTGAAACACAATATTGTCTTCCAGGGTTAATCCAGGATAGTAATAATTAATTGTAAATTGAGAAACAGCTTTAATTCTTCAAAACTCGAAAAACCTGATGCACCAAGCCCACTCATTTAAAGGGCTAACAGAAAGAAGACAATGTGGCCTCACAAATTGGGAGGCTTGCAAACTGTTTAGCTTTTAGAAATTAAGGTGAAATGGGAATAAAATTCACTCTTTCTTATAAATGTAACATCAACAAAGGTTTTTAAAATGCATTTGTTTACTGGAGTAATGTGATTTATGTCTTGTACCAAGTAATCTCTGGTGGTGTTCTTTTTGACTATCAGGACATAGTTTTTCATCAACACAAGTCACTGCAATTACATGACCAGTAGAAAGGAGAAGGTTGATCACCAGTGATAAAGCCCAAAATGGATTAGTGTCATGTTTCTTGTATCTTTGTTCCTTATCTTAAAAAGCCATCCTTAGTTGCTTTTTTTCTTTTTTTTTTTTTTTTTTTTTCTTGTTTCCTACTACTTGAGTGAGAACTATTTAAGATATTGGTAGGTTTTCTTAGTGCAAACAGAAAGGCTTTTAAGTTTCCTGAACAGCTTTTTACTCGTGAAAGTGGCATAATTTCGAGTTACCAAAGATTTTAGTGTATGGTATTTGAGGTGTGTTAAAAAATAGCTAATAGTTGAGTGTCTTTACTGGTTATATTCTCTCCACCTGCATTACAGTGAAGATACCCTGGGAGATATCTAGAAGCCATCAGGGGAAATAAACAATGAGTTGGATGTTGGACTGTGCAACAAAAAATAGTGACTATTGTAATGAAGCCAGAAGAATAATAAGTAATAGAGTTGAACCCATACTGTTCCTGTAATACTGAATATTTTTTAGGCTTGCTTATTATGTCTGAAACTTCCACTTGCATTCTTGAAATGTTACAATATGTAAGAAACTGCCACATTGTAATCTTTATTTTGTCTGTTTTTAAAGGCATACGATGGGTTTGCCAGTTTAGGAATATCGCGATTGCTGGAACCTTCTGACATGGTTTTATTAGCGATACCCGACAAACTGACTGTTATGACCTATCTCTATCAAATAAGGGCACATTTCTGTGGCCAGGAGTTAAATGTGGTTCAAATAGAGGAGAACAGTAGTAAAAGCACATATAAAGTGGGTAACTATGAAACAGACACAAACAGTTCTGTTGACCAGGAAAAATTCTACGCAGAGCTAAATGACCTGAATCGGGAGCCCAAGCTGCATCCACCAGACAGTGGTTTGGCAGATTTTGCTTCTCAGGATGACTCCGTATTTGTAAATGACAGTGGTGTTGGCGAATCTGAGAGTGAGCATCAGACTCCAGATGACCATTTAAGCCCAAGCACAGCTTCCCCTTCTTCTCGCAGGACTCGAAGTGACACGGATCCACAGAAATCCCAGCAGAGCTCTGGAAGGACTTCTGCATCTGAAGACGCTGGGAAGTGTAGCAGTACAGATACAATGCAAGCACAGCCTACGCTGGGAAGGAAGAAATTACTGATAGCTGACACTTTAGACTTGAGTGACTTGGCACATGTCAGTGATCAAAAAGAGGATGCATCTCCCACAGTTGCTTGTGAAGATAACGGCAAGAAGAGACACCAGAGCTCAGACAGTACCGTTGGTTTCTCAGAGCAAGAAAAGCTGGGGTATATAGGATCCACAGAGAGCAGAAGAGCAGATCCCAGTTCACCTGCCACAAAGCCAAGTTTATCTCCGACTTCTAAGCTTGGATACTCCTATAATAAGGATACGGATCTTGCAAAGAAACCGCATGCTTCTCCGAGGCAAACAGAATCTGATTCTGACAATGATGCCAGAACAGCTTTAAATCATACAGATCAAACTGCAAAAACAGCCCAGGTAAGAAATTTAAACTTTCTTATGCCTGTGAGTCAGGATGGAGATGGTGTTCAAGTTCTTTCTCCATGTTTGTAATTTACATCTTATCTTCAGTATAAATGGTGATGTGAGTGGTGTATTTTTATTGCTGGGTAATAAATACTTTGAGTGAAAAGTAGGTGGTGCTGAAAAAGAGCCATTACACGAGAAAATAATTTATAGGAGTTGTCCTATTCTTAATCTTTCCAATTTCTCTCCAATTAAAGGAAGTTGTATTCTCAGCTATCTCAAAGAAGATGGCTCCAAAACTTTTGCCACTGAGTGTACCCTTTCTTCTGAGTATTGTGTACTGAAGCAAAAATCGGAAAAAGACTTGCCAATTCATTGATCCATATTCAAAAACTGTAAAGTTTTGAATACCTTAAATTATATCAAAGATATTTCAAAATCTTGTCTGAGAAACCACACAGCCTTGTGAACATAGCCATGATGGTGAGGTAGAAACTCCAGAATATTGTTATGCTGTTCATTGAGTGGCCTCAAGCATGCTACTTAACCACAATATCTTTTTCCTTATTTTTGTGATGATATCAGCCCTGTTTACAAAAATGCCAGAGCAGCCTATTAATTTTACCCCTGTGAAAAGCTTTCTTGAGTTTTGGCTTTGTTTGGCTTTGTGCCATTTGCTCTGATTAGAAAAGAATATAGCCAGTCTTTTGGTCATGTGAATTGCTTCAAATATTTTGACATTTTTTTCCTAAGTGCCATAAAGATTCATTTTATTGCAAGAGAAGAAGTCCTTAGATGGGTGATAATGGCCAAATATTAGTTCCATAGCCAGCTAATTTCTTTCCTTTAATCAGTGAAGTCTCGTGAAGTTTCTCTTTATCATCATCTTTGTGTACTGGATGAAAAAGGAACATCGTGGCCCATACAGAATAATAGAGCAGAGGAGACAGGATGTCTTCTCTATGAAGATTTCCATGTGCAAGGGTGTAATAGGCCAAAAAAAGAGGAAGAGATGACTTTAAAGGTGGTTCTCTGATGTTAATTGTCTGTGCATTTGCACATGGTAATAAAATCTCAGATGTGAGCCTCAATCTTAACCTTGAGCACTCAGTTGCTGGTTAGAGTCAACCATCTCAAGTTCCATGTGGTTGTGGCAGGAGCACAACCTGCAACATCTGTCTTAGTTCTATCTCATGTAAAGGCCTAGAGACGCCTTTTCCCAGAGTCTTCACAGCTGACCTTGACAAAAAAAGTTAGGACTTGGGAGTATGTATGTGTGGGAGCTGCTCATGTTGCCTATGCAGAAGCCCCTCTTCTGTTATTTCTGTCTTCAATGATTCAGTCATATGTACAAAGGACTTTCTTGTGGTTATTCATAAATAAAGTAGAAGCAGATATTTTCACAGGTTTTTTGCCTTGTACCTAGCCTCTTTGTGTTCAATTTAAGTTATAAATGATACCCATATAAGTAGCCAACAAAGCATTGTATTTGCATACATATTAAAGTAAATAAGAAAACACATAGCACATTTAACATAGCACATTTAACATAGCTTCCATGAAGCCAATTATTTTTTTTTCCACAGTTGCAGTTTAAAAGCATTAAGTATTGATAGAAATTAAGTTTTAAGGGGAGGGGAGAGAACTCTTATTTACATTATAAAGGTCTACGACTTTTTTTTAATTTTGCATTTTGATCATCTTTACTTTTCATTTCTATAGAATATTCTGTCACCTCATGAAGCTGTAATCCATGTGACTTCTGACCTTTATTATATAGGAAGGCTCCTGGCTATTAACCACTGTATAAACATTAAGTACCCTGAGGCTGCCTTACTGTTAATTATATTTCTTTATTTTTAAGCAACGTATGTTGTCAAGACAGGAAGAACTTAAAGAACGAGCAAGAGTTCTGCTTGAGCAAGCAAGAAGAGATGCAGCTTTAAAGGCAGGGAATAAGCAACTAACCAATACGATCATCCCAGCCCGCAATAAGCAACTGAATGATGTAAGAAATATTGGCCAGTATGGCAGTTTGCATAGATAAAATTTACAGTATATGCATATGCTTTTGTGGGGAGAGTGTCCTTGCAGAATATTTCTTTTCAACTCTGAATTGCTTTGATATGTCATATACCCTTAGTTCACTTTTCAAGCCTGTTTCTCCTGCTGTTACTGCCAACAGAAAGATGCCTTAGACTTCACTGGAAGCAGAGGTCTAGGAGCTACCTTCTTTGATTGGCACTGCAGCTTCTAATGGAACAAAACCCAAAAGTTACTTGTTAAATGATAGTGAAGTAATTTATGCTATTTTTGATTACTTCTCTTTTTTCAGTTAATGTAAATGCATTCCCTGAGCCTGTGATGTAAGCTACTTGCTGCTTCATAAGTGTTGTTGCAGTGAATGAAGCTGCTTGTGACAGTCTTGTAAAAGAGTTGGTGAAACAATTCCTTTTTATCACCAAAGTTGATTATGCTGGTGAGATGGGAAAGTGGAGCTGGGGAATGAGCTCCAGTGTTGAAGCAGCTATGGTTGCACCTCTAGTGGCCTCCGTGGTGACCTGGAAGGGTGCATACTCTCTGGAGATGAAAGCTAATTAATTTTTATGCAAACCTTCATAGTGTGGGTTTTGTGATTCTAACTATTGCGCATTAGAGACTGTACTGGCAACTGAGAATGTAAATATAACTGAAAAATAATGATACAGAGAAGGGTTTGAATCTTTACTGATTCACGTCTTTCAGAGCCTAGTCCCGAGGGGCAGATTTTGCTTTTTAGGTAAATGGGATCATGGAATCAAAAAATGAAGACAGTGATTTACATGTCTCATTTAATTCTCTTAACTGTCTTGGATCCATGCTGTACTTTCTTCTTAAGAATTCCTCTTCCCAAACTGACACTTGTTTTTTCTTCAAAATATATTCATATATGCAGACATGTCTTATTTGTATGATGATAACATAATGATATATAAGCAATTTTTTTATTACTTTGTATTTAAGTTTTTCCTAGATAAATATATTTTAGTATAAATTTCACTTTGGATTTTTTTTAATTAGTTTTTCATATAGCAAATGGCATTAGAGAAGGGATACTATAGGCAACTACTCAGGCAGAAACAACTGTAATTAAAGTTGCCTAACATTTTTTATTACAAGCTCCTATTTTCAAAGGTTTTACAACTTTGCTAGTATTTCATTGTTTGAGCTGAAATTTCCCCCTCAGCTCTCTGTCTCAGGGTGATTTTATTTTTTATTTAACTTTGAAAAAAAACTCTGTTCAGCTGTTTTTCTGTATTAGGTTGGATAAAGTATTGTTTTATCCATGTCAAAAAATGTCTTATGGGAAGAAGTTTTCATCTCCTTGAAAAAATCTGTTAAAAACAATCAAAGTTGTGTTAATAGCACAATCTTGTCAGAGAGCCCTGAATTTCAGAAAATGTGGTAAATGTCAGTAAAAATTGTCTGTATGGACAAAACACAGCAAGAGCATCTTTTTACTGTTGCTCCCCTAGGGATCAGGGCCCATTCTGATGCAGATCATAGTATTGGAAAGCAAAACTTTCTCTTTTAGACTCAAACTCCTGGTGATGAAATCCAAACAGGAGGAAAAGGAGCTACCCAGCTGGTATGGAAGAGGAGAAATGTGCCGGGTAGGTGGCAAGGAGTTTGATAGCAATGCGAAGGTAGACAAAAATGAAGACTGTGTCTAGGCCAACTGAGGATAGGAGATGGGGAGAGAGTTTTCAGGGTGAGAGTTAGGATTGCGTAGTTCAGGCAGCCAGATTACCCATTTAATTTATTACAGAAGCTGAAAAATGAATTAGAAGCCTGCAGGAGAGAGAAAGACACTTTCTTTTAGGGCCACTCTGCAGATCCAAAACTTCTTGCTGCCTCCATTAGAAGGTCATTACAATGTTGGGGAGGTACCTTCAACCCCACATACTCAAGGTGGCAGATTCCTTATGATTTCCAACCCAAGATTCTTGGGGACTGATTTCTGGAAGTTCTGAATGCACCCAGCTGTAGCCAAGTCAAGGAGAACAGTGCTGTGAACAAATGGTTCTGACCTCTCTGAAATCTTGGGCACTCTGAGCAAACAGGTAATGGGCACTCTTGACTTGAGTTGACTGTAACATAAGAATAACAAAAGCTCCTCAGCTCAGAAGGGTGTTGTGGAGATGTAATTTCAAAACCCTTAGATATGATAGTGAAGAGTGCCACAGAAATGCTCTGGAAGAAATTAATAATTCTATGTTCAGATAAAAGTTTTGTGTATTTTAAACAAGGTGTAGGACAGACGGTGAATGATGAGGGTAAGGTGAGATATTGAACAATTGTTCATTCACTGAACATTGTCAGTCATGGACACTGAAAAGCATCTTGTAGGAAAAAAAAAAGTATGAGTTATGCAATTAAAGACTGTGTGAAATAAGAACCAATGCAAGGTTGTATAGATAGTGTAATTTTGACATTTTCTAACTTTTGAGTGTTTGATGTATCAAGCTCAACATTCTCCTAATACATTTCAGTGGGAAACATGCATTGTGAAAGGGGGATATCTTTAATGGAGGCTGGTATAGTATTCATATATTATATAAAGTTGATATAAAATAATATATAAAGCTGTATATAACATACATATGTTGTATACATATGAATACATGTGTATGTTCTGAATGAGGATCTATGTTTGCATCAACATATATGGATATAAGATAAAATACATTTATTTCTGGTGTTCTTTTTAACATATTTGATCTTCACAGGGATGAGGCATTTCCATTTGATGCGGTTGTGCTAGTTTACTACAGGTCATTGCTTATTTGATTGTTAGAAAGTAGTACAGCCTTATTTCTATTCAGTGTTTTCTGGTCCTTAAGGTTAATAAGAACTTTGACTCAAAGCAGTGTTCTATGTGTCGGTGTGCAGTAATGTGTAGTAGTGTGTTATCAAAATGAGAGCTATGACAATGAGAATCAGCATTTAGTAGTGGGAATTGGACTAGGCTCATTTTTGGGATGGATTGAGAGAGATCCAAAAGAAAATGTTTTAAAATAGGAAGATCTAATTTTAAATAAGAAAACTTTAAAGAGATAGTCCAGAGCCAATACTTTCAGAAGTAACTCTTGAAGTTTGCAATTGCACCTTTTCTGATACCTTCACGAAAAGGTCTTTAAGCAGCCCAGTCTTTCAGAATGTGTGCTGAAAATCAGTCAGCCCAGCTAAGCTAAGCCTGCAGAGAGTTATTAGTTACTTCTGAAAATCTTGCCTTGTAGGTGTTGATGTTACCACCTTACATTTGTCATATAAGAGCTATGAACCAGCATTTTCTTAGTAAACAAGTGAGAACAGTATACAGTGCATGGGGTCGTATTGCTGCTTGAGGTCAACAAAAAGGAGGAAATTTCCAGGTGTGTTCCGTGGTCATAAATACAGGTTACTTGGTGTGTACTTGCCTGATTTGTTTCAGTAAAAGTCTTTTTTAAAAAAAAAAAACAGTGTTCCTGTTTCTCATGTAAGCATAGAGCATAGATCTGCAGCCTAAGCCTTACCCTTCCTCTGGTAGAGCCAATACTGTGTTATTTTTTTTAGTAGTCATGTACTCTGGGCTTACTTTTCCTTTTAATTTTTTTTCTTTTTTAATTTTCTTGCTTTTTCCCCCCCTTTTTTTTTTTTTTTTTTTTTTTTTTTTTTTTTTTTCTTTTTTAAAACCTCAATTTTTTTCTGTATTGACCACTAACTGTCCTCATGAAATACTGGCTGTTTTCCCATGACATGTCCATTCTCTTGCCTGTTTACCCCTTTTTCTTATGTCTTCTTTCTTGCTGCAGTGTGTTTCCATCATCTTATGATTGTGATCTGGAGTTAGGCCCATGTCAGTATTCTCACTCACTTTACTTTGTTTTGTGTTTCTTTTAACGGAGAAATTGATGAAGTTGTGAGAGCAGAAGATTAAGGCACTGAATTTGCTCATATACCTGTTAATCAAATTTTCCTCTGAATCACGTATTTCTCGCTGCATCCCAAGCTGCATCCTCTTCCTTTAGTTTGTGTCATCTTGTTCTTTCTCTTGCTCAGACTGTATTTTCACTGTCTGCCCTGGCCATTTCAGCTTCCCTCCTCCTTTTTAACTTTTCTTTCTTAATACCCACTCTCTTTACTCTTTCTTCCCTTAGATATCTTCCCTCTGCGCCTCCTGCCCTATCATCTCCCATTCCTGTTCAACCCACCTGATTTAGTCCCATCATTCTCTGCTTGCTTCCTCTATTTGAATCATATTAGCCCCTTTTCTCCCATTTCTTTACTACTTGCAGCATGGTAGAGGTTTTTTCATTGTTAGGTCTGCTCAACTGGTGCGTCTGATGAGCCTCCTGTATGCATACCAGCCTGTATGGAGGTAGCCTGTAAGCAGGTATTCGAAGTCTAAGAAGAGACCACATTGATCAGAAACTCCTTGAAAACATGCTTATGATTTGGGAGAATCATAGATATGTCCTTAAAATTGATGCAGCCTTTTGGAGATTGGAAAAATTAGCTTAAGAGCTCTGTGAACAGAGTTACTGATCCACTCATGGATCCCTTTCTCTATGGTAGATTTATAAACAGCTTTTCTGCTTGCTTACTTGATGTGGGTGTGCATGTGGTGACTCTTTTACGAGATGCTTCTATCATTTCCAATCTGTAATCACTTAGCTTTTAACCAGGAGAACATTTTTATTAGCTTGCTCATTTTTATTTAACTCACCTTTTCTCGTGATGAATATCACAGAGCTAGAAGGGACATATTTGCTCCCACCAGCTGCTGTAAAATATCAACCTGTAGTGCTGGTTGTTAGCAGCAGCAGCATGGCTGGAATGCAGTGTTGGAAAGGGGAGGAGACTGAATCTGGTCTGTGCAACCTAACTGGCAAAGGGACAGGCCAGAGGGGACCACGATGAGTGGAAAATATTCAGGAGTCACAGGGCTGAAAGGTCTTTCCAGCAAGGAACCTTCACTTGCAGAAC